GCCCCCTATCTCTACCCCTTGCTCGTGCAGGAGGTGGTGCGTTTTCGCACCCGTCGGCGTTGTAAGGAAATTGTAATTAACGGATCAGATTTGAATATAGCTCCCATACATAGTGTCGTTCGATTTCATATGTAGAGCACAATGCAATACAAATGAGTAATATCAGTCCGAATCAAATCAATTTAGGTACACGCAGCCAGGTTCAGTCTAGAAGTATATATGACAATCGGTTCAGATTTCGATGCTCCCATATATATTTTCGTCCGATTTAAATTTTATTGTGCGCCAAATGTTTAATATGTATCCAATATGGATGGATTTCGACACATCCGAGTGAATTCAACCCTGAAGCAAGTACTTCTAATTTGGTGAAAATCGATATAGATATAGTTATAGCTCCCATATATATGAATTATCCGATTTGGGGTTTAAGTCCCTCACATTCGTAATCTGCACAAATATAATTCAAAAACAGAGAGCAGACGGTTTGACAGCTATTTTGATTGGGAGCGCTTCATTAGCGTTCGCACATATGGTTAACCGAAAATACTTTTTTAGTAAAAAAGCACCCATTAGCGCGAAAACGCACAACACGTATATATGCAACGAGGTTTATATGTACCATTTTGAAAATTTAATGAGTTAAATATAGGGCTACCGATCCATACCAATACATATTTAAAAAATATTATTTTTCTATATGTTTTCTTTGTATAATAGAGTTATTTTTTGCATGTAGGAAAACCTGCACTTGGCGATGCGTTTATCATCATGTAGGTGACGTCTAATGAAAAAACAGCCAATGTCAAATAAATAGACCCACCCATCTACTATCTATACCAAGAAAAAGAAAAGCGATATCAAATATAAAACCGTTTCTATGCATGCTAAAAAACACCTCTATTTTTGGTGCGTTTTCGCACCCGCCGGCGTTAATGGGTTAAGCCAAGCAATTAACTAAATAAGTAGAAGAGATATTTTCATAGGATTTGTCTCAGAATTGATGCATTTAAATCTATCTGCTTTAATGTTGTATCATCATCTGCAAAGCAAGCGATCGTCATAAGAGCTACTGTAACTAGACTCTGAAATTGCTGCCAGAAGAGCAGAAGAAATAACAAAAAACATGCTGCCGTGCTGTGTTTTGCTGCGAACATTTTCACAGCGCAGCATAGTTTTCGGATTTTATAATCGCGCTATGAGGATCACACAGCCTGCTATGCTGGGACGCTTTCACAGACACAGCAATGTAAACACGAATACTGTGAACAGGGCTACAAATCCCAACACCGATCTTGAAAGTTATTCGGAGGAAAGGAACAATTTCAAACATTACATTATGTTCCAAAGTAGCACGTTGTCCAACAACTGTGTGGCGATGTGCCAAAGGGTGCCGTGTTTTTCATCATCATTTTGTTATAAAATCTCAGTTTCCCAAAAAGTCGACTTACGACATTTACTTTCATTTCAGACGATATGTGTTGATTTGAATATTCTTTGCGTTGACATAATTGAAATCTCTCCAAGAACATAAATCTGGGTCTAAGTTCTTCAGAAGTTCCAAGTGATGTTTCAACATCCCACACGCTGTCCCTCATAGTTGTAGTGGAAGTTACACGAATATGAGTACTGCTTGTGTGGCGGATATCATCATCTCTGGGTTTTATGTAAATTAACACCTCTCGAGGAAAACTCTTTTTCATTTTGCCAAACAGAAAGGAAGCAAGCAACCGTAACATGTGTTAAGTACTATTTTCGCCACACACTTCTCCTAGTCTGAGGCAAAGCCGAGTGAATCGTTGTTTTTGTTGTGACAAAGCAAAGGTAAAATGTGTATCCTTTTAGCATTCATCATCACTTACAATGCCACCAACGAAAACAAACACAGCATGTCTGTTAAAAATAAATCCTCTTCAGGGAAGACACTTCACACAAGGAGTGGAGAAGAATGCAAGAATAACATCCATTAGAGCGTTTCAACGTTCTCGACGCTTTTCTAATGGCAGCGTGTGTTTTATGAACTCTTACTTGAATGCTTGTCTAGCTCCGGCACAAAAGTATCACGGTTATACTTTCCACACCTGTTTCTGTGTTATGAGCGTTACATTCAGGGCTTGGGAATCCTGTACTCCCCCTTCCACGATACTCTTATTTGTGAATGCTAGACCCACTGAGTGGGCGTAGGAAACTATACGACTTTTTTCATGCCAAAAACGTACACTGGAATCACTTACGCTTCTGATTAAAGCACTTCTTGGGCATCAAATATATTGTTGTATACAATTTTAATATCTATATCATTGCTATAAATAAAATGAAATTCCATACCATCTCATTCACAACCTCAAAAATGTATTAAACATTAAATTTGGTTTGAGATTCTTGAACTTTAAACTTTTTTTGTTAGAATCCCTTCCTTTGGCCACCATGATGTTCAGAGTTTTAACTAAGTAATAAATTTAAAAGTAAATTGTGGATGTTAAAAGCTTTAAACAGGCATATTTTTATAACCTCAACCATATGGCTAGAGAGGGTACATATCGTTTGATACGGTAAAAAGGTGCCTCATCGAAGTAACGTTTTTAAACCTGGGTCTCTTTAGATGAAATCCGTTTCAGGGCATTTAGAGTCGATCTGGTGATATCCGTCCGTCTGTCTGGCTGGTGCCTCCGATAACGATCGAAAGGAGTGTCCGATTTGGTCCACACTTGATACAGCGTAATATTATTATCAAACTTAGATTGAGTTCGCTGTGAAGATATATTAGTCCACTCCTTCTGGTATCTCCCCTACATCCGATTCCATTCAGACTTGGTACATCTCAATATTTCCATCAACACAAGATCTGTTGTAAAGATGGTAGAGATCGGACCATTTCTTCTGGTTCCTCCGCCACAAAGGCTTCAAGGTTTTGAAAGCACAACAAGCACCCAACTCTCTTCAATTTTCACTAGCAGAACAAGTCTACGATTCTTTACAAGTTGCTATACCTAAATGTTATGATTTCGCATAAAATTGGATATAAATGATCGCTTTTCTTGAAGTTTTGCCCATACAATACTCTTATCTGTATTAGATGAAGTATGAAAATGGAATTCTTCGGTCGACTCTCATTTTAACATTTTCTAAAAGTTTTCACATATCTCATATAAAGTGGAAGAAGTAACCAACATAGTCTAAAACTGGCACGTCACAATATTTATGTCATGTTTATTTAGGTCCGACAATATTGGCCCTTTGCTACGGGACCTACTCCATAGAGGGTCAAAAATTTGAATAACCATAACAGAAGTCAACATATATTTAAATAACCAAACATCGGCTGAGGGTACACATCTTTCGACTAAACACTGATATCTTTGAATCTGTTCGAGAAAAAACAATCGATAGTAAAAGATAGCTGGCAATAAGGGTCGACAATTTTTGTGTGGGAGGGATTAGCCATTTATTCTATTTTAAATCCAAATGCCTTTGTTATTTCCACTTTATGATTTTTATTATCCACTTTTGGCTTCATTCCTCGTTCTGGAAACAACTGCAATTTGAGTTCTTCCTTTCATGGTTTACTGGAATTGCAATGTTACAATTATGCTCCCCTACAGCGTAAACAGAGCCAACTTTTTATTATACAAAAATTCTCAAAAGTCAGGAGAACCGGGTTGTGCTCACCAAAACGTCATAAGTTTGTATGCGTGCATACACGTCCTTTTATTAAGTATTATATTTGCCCAGAAGAGTCTATTCATAGAAATTTAAATCCCATTGTTCACGTTAAATTTGATTCACTTTCTATCTGCAGGATGCAGACCTCTTTTAGTGTTTGTTTCATAGAAAAGTATTCACTGACTAAGCGACAGAAGAAAATAACACATTGTTTCAACTTATTCGCAACAGCCCACGCGGCAACAGCTCTGATCGAGGATAATTTTAAAAACATATTTGTACTATTAAATATCTGAAACTCATGCACTATTTCTGGTCGACTTTAATGCAATCCTCTCGTTCAAATAGACATTGGAGCAAACGAAAATTTCAAATCCACATTCTGCAGGTTCAACAAACTCTTCTGGTACTCGTATATTAAATTTCGTTTTGTATATTCCATGTTGGCGAAAACAATTAGAATCCTGTCTCCCCTTCTTTGCTACGTCTGACGACAACTGCTGCTGTAGAGTTCGCAGTATGCAACTTTATGCTTATTTCTGAACATTAGGTTTGAGTTACTCGCAACACAAATGTCCCTTACAAATCTATGGAGTTCTGTAGAGGCATGAAAACAACTACAGACTGCTATTTAAACAATAAAATGTTTTTGTGTGTAGGAAAAGGCAACATTGTTCAAACAAAAGGTGATACGAGAACCAGAGCCGATATGCATCTGCAGGTAACAGTCATCGGACCGCTTTGTGGTACACTTGAATAGTTCTGGCAAAAGCTTGAATCATCTAAGCAAAGTCTAAAAACCCATTGTGGCTAACTTTCTTGCCCTTCGCAACGCATCTTTTTCATACGACATCCTAACAAGGGAAAACACGGGTCTACTTCTGAAAGTTGTAGACCTGATGCTTTAACGTTTTTGCAGGAGGATTTCATGTATGTGTATGCGAAAGCAGACATTCTGGTTGACAAGAACAAGCCGAGCAACCTGACTTATTCATAGTAAGTCTGGATAATAAGTTTTATATCTTGTTGGCATTTCTAGTTTCCATATTTGATACAGATGCCATGCATTCAAACCTCTTGCCAAAGGAATGGGTGTATTGGCGAGAACAAAGATGTAGTTTCATTGGGAATAGGTTGACGGAAATTGAGATGAGTTAAAATGACGGACAAATTAGTTTCAAGATAAAGGCAAATAATTAATTTGAAGAACAACTTAGAGGACGGCGCATCTCAAAATGCAAAGCATGGTTCACCGGATCATACTCACATCTACTCTGAATATAATTTTATATAAAGAGGCAGAAACACAAATAAATATATTCCCTCTTCTTTTTCAGACAAATTCCCCAAGCTTACACCAAGGCCAATGGAACTGCCATACCGTTGCCTGCGACTGTTATGGTACAGAGACGATGTCCTCCAGACAAAGTGAGACCTTTACCCCCAACTCCGAATCACGCTCCATGTAAGTATTTTTCCAAAATATTTTTTACCTATTATAGACGGACAGGTAAGCCGTAATACAGCCTTAACATTTGACTTACTTATATGTATTCAACAATACGGTTATGTTCTGCTAATTTACTTTCTCAAGTATCCATTTCAAATCAAAATTAGTATATTGTTTTTATATTGTTGGATTTAAGTCGAACTTAGATTGCTCTAGTGTTTAAGTTCCGATTAAATTACAAAAATTTCACTATAGGCCTACGCACTCTTTATAATCCTCCAAAGCTACCTTTCTGACAAATTGACTGATCACGTTGATCACAACATATTTTTAACGAATATCTAACTGCTAAAGATTTAATTGTTGTATTCCTCCATTTTTTATAGCAATACCAGGCTTAGGAAAAAGCGGCAGCGAATTCAATAACTCCCGTCCAAACAGTCCACCGTCTAGCAACCACACTATTCAAAATCTGAAAAGTGGGAACAACAATGGCCTTAGACAGCCTTCAATTAAGTCGGGAATCCCCGCCCCTGGCTCAGCACTGCCCACCGTTACGGGCCAACAGAAGCACTCTATGCTCGACAAACTTAAAATCTTCAACAAGGACAAGCAACCACTGCTGCAACAGCAGCAGGGCCAACAACAAACCACCCTAATTAACGCTAACAAAAACCAAGTGCAATCTAAGAGGACATCGTCGTCTTCGGGTTTCTCGTCGGCGCGTTCTGAACGTTCGGATTCCAGTTTAAGCCTTAACGATAGTCATATCTCTCAAATAAAACCACCCGCAATAGCTGTAGCAGCAACAAATAAAGCCAGGGAGACCAAAGCAAGTGCCAAACAATCTAAACTCCTGCAGGCACAAACCAAAAAAGAGCAAGTAAAGAATGCCTCTAAAACAGAAAAGAAAGAGAAAAGCCCCGCCAGATCGCTGAATAGGGAAGACATTAATGTTGATAGCAAAACATCGACTTTGAGCCGCAACAAGAATTCTTTGCCCCGTGGAAAGGATTCATCCCTGAAGCCAAACACTAAATCGAATTTGACCAGCAAATCAGAATCCAAAACGTCCCTTATTATACCGCCTTCAAAATCCCTGAACAGCTCAAATTGCATCGGCGGACTTCCTAAACCAATTGCTGCCATAAAGGGCACCAGTAAGTTACCCCATTCCCCTCTGCAAAATGATAATAAGGGCCGACTAAGCAGCCCAAACTCCGCCCAGGAAATGATTAAAAGAGAGAAGAGTGACATATCGTCCACATCAAACATATCACAGCAACAAACCCCAAGCAATCACTCGACACAGCTACCCACACATATCGTAAAGCCAGTACCCATGGCCGAGGTGCATCAAAATCAGCAAAGGTCACCATATTATGCGAACGCTCAACATATACAGCAACAACAGACACTTATTCAACCACAGCAGCCACCATGTTCTATCCAGGAACCGACTTACAACCGCTTGCCACCACCTAAACCAAGCGCCATAGGCACCCCAACTGCATTGCGAAAACTCGAATATAATTCCGGGCCGAGCGTCTTGCAGCCACAACAACATTCACCCCTTCGATCATTGACACCTGCGGCCACCCATTCTCAGCCTGTCACTCCTACTTCGCAACAATCTCCACTTACCAATGAAGGGACGCCCAACAAATACCACACCATTCCCTCCAAAATCGTTGGCACCATTTACGAAGAAGACAAGCCGGTCAGTGTGTTACCTATGCGGCCGCTGCTAAGAGGCTACAATTCGCACGTCACCTTACCCACACGTGGAGCCCGGGGCACCCACAATTTCATATCGGAATACTGTGAAAATGACATCAACCAGGGCTATTGCAGTGATGGCGATTCGTTACGCTTTAGTAATTCCAGACTGGGGCATAGCTCTTCTCTGCAGGGCTCACCGAGATTCCATGACATTGACAATGGGTATTTATCGGAAGGAAGTAGTGGTATAGGGTGCAGCCAGAATGGACACCACATACCGCATGGCAAACATTTCCTGAGTATGATGCGGGCCCGCAGCCAGTTGCCCACCACCATTGAAGAGAGGTAAGTAGGCCCACATAGGTTCAAAAAGATTTTTCAGAAAACATCGGGATTGTCTATGAAATATGAACAGAAGAAAGCATCCAAAATCAGGAGTGATTCCAAAAATGAATAGAATTCAATTTTGAAGCCATAGTGAACATTTTCAATATTAAATCAATGTTGAAAAGGAATCCTGCTCAGCATTAAATGCGTTAGCGACATTTCGGGCTCGTAGTTATTTAAACATACATACATACTTACATGCATAAAATGCCGAACAAACGCGAACCACAGCAGGCACTGTCTCAGCCATGTCTGACAGCAATTGTATTAAGTGAACATTGCGTTTTGTATAAATCGTTTTATAATGCGTAGCAGAAGCAAAAAGGATGAGTAAGAGAGTACGACACGAATAAGAAAAGGATGCATAGTATTTCGCTAACATAAATCACAGGCTAACAAAGCAGACATGTCTCCTCTGTAGCATTTGCTCTTTGCTCGACTGTTGAAAGCCAGACAGCAGAAATCATAATAAGGGAGAAAATAGGAAGAAGTGAAAAAATAAGCAAGTTCAGACACGTGAATGCTCGGACAGACATGTCTGCCTTGTTCTTGACCGAACAAAAGTTTACACAAATAGCCGAATATATTGTACGAAACTTTACAAAATGCAATGAGTTTTAAATGTCCACACAACTAAATACACGAGGTTTGTTTCGAACATGACTAACAAAACAGTCTACGGACAAATAAAAAATCTTCCACTGGCGGCACACAACCAAATGTCGTAGTGGAGGTTTAAGTTTGTACCTGATAACATGAAAATCAGAATTGACCAATGATAATAGCAAACCTTATACAAATCCTATGTATCACAGAACGTAAGGACTGCAGGCCAATTTAAAATTAAACACACTAAAGAACATCCTTTGGATTAATTCACTCTTGAAAAAATTGTCGGAAAGGAAAATTAAATTTCAGGAAAGAGTGGAACATAGAGTGCGACATTAATCTCATCCAACCATAGACGAATACATGTCAAAGACATAAAACTAAAATCATTGGACAAAATGCATAATGTCGTTTAATGTTGCAATCAGGCAATAGTTGATCAACAATATGCCAAAATGCATTAGAAACGTTACAGAAATCTATTATTCGAAAATACCGCAAACTTGCAAAAAATTATAGAAATTGGCTAAAAAATATCCGTGTACATTTAATCGATAGAAATTAGCGAAATCTCCATGAAAACGCCAGGTCTGTTAAATTACAACATAATGCTATGTCAGGATATGGTAACATAACATTTTTTTTCACTACCAACGCCATCTATTGAATCAAAGCAACAATGAAATGTCCCACCTTCATATGTCATATATATTTGTCCACTCCAATTGATTTAGTTGAGACATCTACCTATTCACCATGATTAGTGGTGAATTTTCTTTCATAAAAAAATACACAGCTGGGCATGTAGTATTAAGTAAGCATAGGCAAAAGCTCTTTGTTATTTTATCGTATTTTCAATTGCCTGTGGCATTACCCTTCTCACTAAGAGGCTTTTAAGAGAAGTTTTTACATTTCAAGATATGCCCAACGTTACAACTCTGCATTAATTAATTGACAAACGCTGTACAGCTAACAAAACACGTAAATGGGCTATATAACATTAATAGCCTGTTCAGAAAACTTATTTTTCTTCCAATTGCAAGGCAAATAGATTTTTTGGTTTTCGTACGAAAGTAAACTAAAAGAGCTTTTTTCTATAAGCAAATTTTGGTTCACCGAACTCCAACACAAACAAAACGAAATGCCAAAGTAGACAATCAGAGAATATCAATCGTTCATTCACAAAATTTAAACAAAGTAAAATATCGTGTTTGAAAATGGATATTTCATACTAAAGGTATGGTCCATTTCATCCGCTGTGCTGTGTCGATCCCAACAGGTGCGCTTCTTCACTGTTCTAGACTCTAACCCTACTCAAAATTAGGCATAAATTGGTATATAATTATGACCTGAGAGACTACAAAATCAGAAAAATCTGTTGTTGGTCCATTTCAAGCTCTAAAGGTTTTTATGCTGACCCTAACTCTGACTCAACGCAAAATTACGTGAGGTTTGCGTCATTAAAACGGACAGACGGACACACATAGCTAAATCGACCCATCTCGGCGAGATAGTTAGATGCATATGTAAAATCATGGGTGTAGAACTAATATTTCACGGTTTGTGGCATCACCTAACCTTTGACACCACTGCTATTTACACTTTTATTTAAACCGGCGCTCGGACATAATCCCTTCGGTCATAATCCCCATTTCAATTATGGGGATTATGAACTTTTTTCGATCATAATCCCCATAATAACGAGAGGACTGTTTGCTGTGAGGACTACCTACAAAAAAAATTATTAAATGTAGTAAACTTAAGTTCGCGTTAGCCGGTGCCCGACATAATCAGAGTAGAAAGTCTTTGAACATACCCATTATACCCGCTACTTTCTGTGGTTTATGACCTTTTTTCTTCGACATAATCCTCATTCCATTATGGGGGTTCGGTCATAATACCCACAAAGTTGCGGACATAATCTACATAATAATCGGTATACCCAAAAAGATTGGGTGTGCGAAAAAATTAAGATTTTCTCCACTGGGTATGTCTTGCACCTAAATTTCATAATTTTTGTAAGTAGTCGGCCTTTGGCCGCGGAGTGAAATGTTCTCCTTCAAGTATGTCCCGCACCGGCTACCGGAATCAAAGATTTCTAAAATTAATTATTTTTGTAAATAGTCCACACATCAAACGGTCATACTGCCTAAGCAAATTTTGTCCATTTTGGAAGCGGACATAATGCGGATTATATTCGGACACCGACACGGCACCTACAAAACATAAAATGGAAACATAAAAATGTTGCTCCCAGACGAAAAAAGTGAAAGAACTGAAATAAAAACTTGATTTTCTGGGTAGCAATTGCCTGTCTGCCTTAAACAAAAGTTCTGTGAACATGCTATAAGCCTTTTTGGTCTTTTTGCCTATTTTTATTTTAAAAACACTGCAGGACCCATAGACTGCTCAATTAAAAATCCAGAAATTCCTTTTCTGTTATTAGTGCCAGAGTACATTTTCCAATGCAATGCCCCTTTCACTTGTGGACACGGAGGATGAAATGTTTAATAAGAAATACACAAACTGAAGCCACATCTGATAGTTAGGCTGCATGCATCCGGCACCTTTGAGATCGTGTTGCTCTTTAAAGTGTCGACTGTTTGTAACAGGGGAAGTTTCTCGTTTTGCAACAACGTGTGCTACAAACTTGTGTTTAGTATTCGAGTACACACCCGCTACAGTAACGTGTTGTGCCAGCAAAGTCAATTACAACATCGAGATGAACATTACATGACTGTGGGTGGTGTGGGCATAATGTCGGAGTGTATGTATGTGCATAAGAATGTGAATATTCCATTCATAACATTTATAATCAGCCAGTAATTCAATGACAGAATTTGTGACATTTAGCGTCGACGTTTTTCCTCCTAGACTAAATGCCAGGATTGTTGCTTAACAACAAACTCTCACTTCATTATAAACAATGGTGGTTTGTTCCTTTATGTACGTCGGTATAATCGGTACATTGAACAAGGCAACTCGTATACAGCAAAGAAAAAGTCGATCGTCGTCGAACAATAATCGCACAGCCGGGAATGACTTGGACTAAAAATTATTCCTGTGGATAACTGAATGTCGTTGCACCATGTGCACCTGACAATCTCGTACAAACAAACAAACACAGTCTATATAAATTTCAAAACAGTCCGTGCATTATACGTTCGTTGGTACCAACCGCACTACCTATAATTTAATATTTGAAATTTTAATCAGCAAAACACATTTTCAATTCTTATTTTGTGGGCACAGGTATTGGAATTAGAGCACAATTGATAGCGCAGACACATTGCTCCTGCCATATGAATACTAACTACTAAATTCGGATGAAATCGAAACATGTAAAATGTCCCTTAAAGAGAGAGTTTTATGGCACTCGACTGCTCTACTCTTCCGAGGAATAAGAATTAACGTGGCTAGGAGCATAGTACCTCACATTAGTGACTGTCTTCGCCTCCACGTCCAGGGTATCATTTAGTAGCCCCCGTCCGAGATGTTCAATTCATAAAAATTTTAAATTTGTTAAAATACAACATATTTGCCATATTTTAACAAAAGGAAATAACAAATTAAGAAAAAGCTAAATTTAAAAAAAAACAGCTTCACCATAAAATTCTATGTTGATTTAGCCATGTCATCAATTGCTTTAGTCATCTGTGACAAATACTTAAGCTTTCAAACGATATAAAGCAGTTTGATAAAATTTTACTCAAATGTAATTTAGGTCCTTAAAATGTTAGGTATTAAAAATGTACCTTATAGGACCATATTTTGTTATATCCCCCTAAATAACGGAACCGCTGATCTACTGATATTCCACTATTTAAGCTACATTTTTCAATGAAATTGTTTAGGTACCACAAAATTGTTTCTGTACAGGTTTTTGTTAGTTTTGTTAATTTTAGCCACATTTTCTAAAGTAATTTTTTAAAATTTGTTACTTGAAGTTTGTAATGGTGGTAGACCACACATATAAGAGACAGATTGAAAATTGCCAATTTGTCTTTACATGCTTGTTTTTATGTGAATGTATTTTTTTGTAAGCTAGTTCCTCATATGCGTTTATGCATTTTTTAGGTTTCAATTAAATTGATTGTATAATAAAAAAATCAACAAATTTCTCATAAGTATGTTTCTTATATGAAACAATTTTGCTGTGAAAAATACGAAAAATAGCGCGGTGTTTTGAAAAAAGTTTCTTTCTTACATTACAAAGTTCTTACATTCATATGATGCGTGATATTGGTGTCCATTACCTGTTCCATGACAGAAATAGCCAAACTCTTAAAACTGTTTGAGTGCGTTGCAAGTATGAATAGTTGCTTAGTTAGTAGCTTTAATGCTCTATT